AATCGAGAATTGCCTCCTTCCCTTTAGATAGCTTTCAATCCAGTGGAGGAGTGGACATGCTATACTTCAGTATCTCTCCAGTTTTGTTAACAGGATAGTATGGGATATGCTGTTGAAGGCCTTTTTGAAACCTTCAAAGGCTACTCTTAGAGTGGATACTGAGTCGAGTGCTTTTCTCCATGTTCCTGTGAAGTGTGTTAGTGGTAATTCCCTCGAATGTCAAGGGCGATATGCCCATTGATTGGCAGGCGGTTATCGGATTATTTTCTGTATAGACGTGACGTGTGATCGTGTCATTTACCACAGATTCTAGGATCTTGGGATACTTAACGACGAAACCGGCCTGTAGTTGCCACATCTCGTTTCCTCATCTTTCTTGAAGTCGTCTTTCTGGAATAAGCCTTGCTGTTTTCCAGCTGGTAAACAGTGTTTACCAGCTGGATTATGAGCGCACATGGTATTCTACCCAAATTGGTAAGAATGGTTTAAGCAATGTACAAAGGAAGCAAATGTGCAGTAATCGATGGGGGGAGGTAAGACTGACTGGTTTGACATTAAATCAGGTGTTCGACCAGGTCGCGTAATGTCGGCACTTCTCTTTTTGCTTGTCATTGATTGGGAGACGAGAAAGACGCTTAAGGAAGGACACACAGAGATAAGGTGGAGTTTTACTGAGAAGTTAGAAGACCTTGACTTCGCTGATGATCTTGCTCTGTTGTNCAAGAAATTATCAATACTAATTTGGATGTAATTTCGTTGCATTGAGGAGGTTTTGTGGTGATATTGACAACAGCAACATTAAATTACTTTTGTTGAAAGTAATCGTTTCAGAGCGGAAACCAACACGGTGTACTAGTAACCTGCGGCGCCAATTGCGTGCGCGAGGTAATAGAGGAAGGAAATGAAGCGGAAAACAAGAGGGCGTACAAACCTTAGACAATACAAACGACAACAAAGGACTCGGTTCCAACAGTAGCTAACAGTAGTTTATTCAAACTTCGTGTGCAGTCGTCAGTGTAATCATGGCAATATGAAATCGACGAATACTGAATCATAGAAGGACAACTCAAGCAGAACAAAGTTCAGTTTGAATAAAGTGAGTGCGGAGGAAACAAAGCTCTCAATGTGTTATCAAACTGAAACTACTTCTGTTGAAAAAAAAAAAAGGGTTTTAAAATGCTAATTATCGAACAATGACTGAGGCCACATCCAGGCTACGCCGGAGATATTCCTTCCACACTAATGCGTCACGAAAATACCCTGCCAGTAGTTGGTTTCTCCTGCGCTGAACGAGGGAGAAACCAACTGCTTGTAGGGTAATATAATATGGGAATTTAGAAAAAGAGCTTGCGATAAGTAGCCAAGAGACTATCCCTTTAACCCAAACTTTCTGGGAAGCGCTATGGATAAATTGTTTGTCATTCCTTTCAGAAGAATAAGAAAGATAAGAACGGATGGTGCTACTGCAAGAGCACGGTCAGTTATAACAGCCCAGGACGTGACGCACATACTGTTGTTAAGGGACGAACCAGTAGAAAAGTGATGGGAGCAGACTTTTTCAGCTTGCAGGAAATTTTTTCACGTCCACTTCTTTTTTGAATAAATGGCCACCCAAATTGTCTATTTAATTATTTTTACTGAACATCTTATGATCGAAATGAAACTGATTAAACTACTTTTTTCACTACGCAAACAAGGTGTCTCATTATTTTCAGCCTTATAAGTTGGCGGTGCCCGGCGCTCTCCTCCATTCGCATTTCCAGTTCACTTGTGGGGACATATCCCTGGTCAAAAAAAGCCCCATCTGGTGGCAGGGTCGAGAGGCGGCTGTAAAGACCAAATCGGAATTTCATGAATTAATGCAGTGTGCAAGCGTTTTTGTCTCTAAATTATTCTCTTCTTTTAAAACTATAGCACAAGAAGTAAACAGTGTGTACTAGCTGGATTATTAGCGCATATGGTATTCCACCCAAATTGGTGAGAATGGTTCAAGCAATGTACAAAGGAAGCAAATGTGCAGTAATCGATGGGGGGAGGTAAGACTGACTGGTTTGACATTAAATCAGGTGTTCGACCAGGTCGCGTAATGTCGGCACTTCTCTTTTTGCTTGTCATTGATTGGGAGACGAGAAAGACGCTTAAGGAAGGACACACAGAGATAAGGTGGAGTTTTACTGAGAAGTTAGAAGACCTTGACTTCGCTGATGATCTTGCTCTGTTGTTAAGTACAAGAAGGGAGCTCCAATTGAAGAATGAGAGTTTAAGTTATGCCAGCAAAGGAACAGGTCTAGATTAACATCGCTAAAACGAAAGTCATGAGGTTCAGTGCTGTTAGCGAGGAGAAAGTAATGATAAATGGAGAAGACCCCTCGAGGATGTAGACAGCTTTGTCTACCTGGGAGCCAAAGTTAGTACAGCTGGTGGAGCAGATGATGACATCACTTCCAGACTGGGTAAAGCAAGAGCAGTGTTTGGTAAACTGACGGGTGTCTGGAAAAGCAGCATCCTGAACAAAAGTACTAAGATCAGGATATTCAAGTCAAATGTAATAGCTGTGTTGCTGTATCGATGTGAATCATGGAGGATGACAGAGGGTGATAAGGCCAAACTTGATACCTTTCAGCACAAGTGCCTGCGTAGGCTTTTAAACATCTACTGGCCTCTGCGTGTGTCCAGTGAAGAAGTGCGTAGGAGAGCCAACACTGAGACTATCAGCGAACTAGTTAGGATAAGGGGGTGGACATGGATAGGCCACGGGCTGCGCATGGACAACATCTACCTCCCAGGAGTTGCCCTGACGTGGGCACCGGAAGGGAAATGCAAGAGAGGAAGACCTAAAGAAACGTGAAAGAGGACTGTGGAGAAAGAGCGAATGGCAATGGGTTTCAACTCTTGGGTTGAGGCAGGACTGGCAGCAGCAAACAGGGTGTCTTGGAGGAGCACAATTTGCGGCCCTATTCTCCATACGGGGAAAAGGCTCTGATGATGATGAAACACTGTTTTGCTGGTGATGCTGAGCTGGAATAGGTAGACTGCTGATGGAACTATTGAATCACCTGTTAGCTTCAGTAACTTCGGCTAGATGTTGTCAGAACCAGTGGATTTCTTTGTTTTGAGCACTTTGATCTTATTTGCTACCGTGGCATTTGACTCGATTACCAGCCGCTGTTTCGAGAAATGAGCCCACGCTCACCCCCCAAAAAGAGGGGTTTGAGCCCTGGCCGGGGGATATTGTTTTGTGTTTTTAGGCCAGCCACTTTACTCTCACAGTGCCTCTCTCCACCCAGGTGTATTAATGGGTACCGGCGAACTTAATGCTGGGGGTAGCCCTGCGATGGACTAGCATCCCATCCAGGAGGGAGTAACTGGGATAGTTACAGAAACTGGGATAAGCTCCGGCCTGATGAGCCACTTGGCTCGTATACAGACTTTACCTTTTTTACCATGGACCGAAAACTGTTGGTAGCCATGGTAACATGCCACCGTTTTATATGTTCATGCAAGAGAAGAAGTACAAAGTGATCGGTGATAAATGCGTAGAGATGTAGCGCTCTATGAAAACGTCTACGGCAACATAAAACGGGTGCCAGTTAATTTTTCTTCTGGCTTAGCGAATTGAAATGCAAGTGAGATCAAGTTTATGCTCATTTCCTAAAAAACAAACAGCTTGAACAAGACGAGGCATTGATGATGCTACGGGTTTGTCTTTTTCGATTTCTGTTATTTTTGTTGACTTGATAGTTGATCTCTCTGTTTCGGCAATGAGACAAACTGTAAACAAGAAAGCAAACCAAACAAATATGATAAACGGAGAAGCTTTAGTGAGGAGTTCATAATAGAACAGGCAAACCTGCTGCCTGCCAATTGGGCAGAATAACGCAAAGGATTTTTTCTGCCCAGTCAGAAGCCAGCATCCACAGAGCTGTTTGGACTGGGGTGGTAAGACCCATTCCACAGGGACTCCTCGCTTTCTCTCCACTTTTTTTGACCTTTTTTCCTTGTCACTTTGACTTTCTCTTGCTCCCGGTAACTGTCCCTGGGTCTCCGAGGATGACTTGCACTTGGCATACCCCAAATCCAGTGGGCATTAAGCTAGTAACATGGCAATTTTAAATTCTTTCAACAGGAGAAAAACAAACTGTTCATCCACAGTCACCAGTGTCACAATTGATGGCAAGTAGACCACCAAGCAGGCTACAGGTAGTTTCCTTGTGGGCCAATTTTCTTTGTTTATTTCTAAAAATTGAAGCAGCATAACTTTTAGGTTGGGGATAGTATTTGCAAGCTGATTAGGGGGAGGAGGGGAGGTTAGTATGGGTGACTTACGTTGATAATTTTTAAATCAGCAAGTACACATAGAAGAAGTTACCGCAAACTGCCTCGTGTATTTCTGTTTAGTGACAAACAGCCACAAAATGAAAAGAAATAAAACACCATAATTTTCTCATACCCCACCGCCCCCTAATTTTCTTTGCATATCTCTCCTGGCAACCACACACCAATTTAAAACTTATGAACACTGCAAGTTATCTTGTTACCAGATCCAGAACAAAAATTTAATTTTGAACATGAGGGTAAACGTGATGAGCACTGCAAAAACTTATTGTAAGATACTTTTAAGCTTACGGTCATTCCCCAGTATTGCACCGCGCATCCCTACTGTGAGTGCTACTCGTGAGTAGCGCGCGGGCATACAAAAATGGTGCCTTTTTCTTTATGGCTGAACTTCCCCATAGAAGTAGACCGTCATTTCCTCGAAAACAAGTATGGTGACCTATCATTTTTTTCTGTTGTTTTGAACTGAGTAATAGATTTCTCTATGTAAAATAAATATGGACCAATTC